TTATTTGATAATTTAGAACCTTATCAAATAAAGTAATTTTTTTGTTCGTTTGTTCTACCATTTTTTAATATGATTAAAGTTTTTTTTAAATCCAACATTTATGTCTCCTATTATGTTTATTATCAAAATATATTTTATAATTAATGTAATTATATTTAGTCGGTGTCCTACATTTTTAATTTTATATAGATTTAATTAAACTTAAAATTATTTAATTTATTGGAAAATGAGGATTGTATTTTTGCTTAGACGGAGGGGGACGGGGTAGTCTAATGATTCAGATTCCACGTCTCGATCGCCGCCGCCGTCGCCTTCCATTCATCGCAGTCGCCGCCGTCGCCCGTCGGCCGTGTTTTGGGACGCGGCTTCCCATCACACGCTTTGCCGAGACGGAAGCTCCGCGTGAAAGCCGTTAGCAGTAGTGCCCTCCCACGACGGCCGCCGACGGGGAATGAGATCATCTAACTTCACAGCATACGACTGCACCTGCAGTCAGCATAATCAGCACCGTCCGCTGCTGATCCAACGTCTCCACGTATAGGCTAAGCACTCTGGCTGCCGTGCTCCTCTGCTACATGGGCCTTGGCCCAAGAATAACACCGCCACTCCCGTATTTAGCGGCGTCTTTTCCTTTTTGGCGCGAATCTGCATGCTTTCCCCGCTAGCGAAGGTGAAGCGTGAAGCGTCGGCGTCGGCGTCGGCCATCGGCTTTCTTGCAAGCACGCAGGCGTCAAAGGCGTCGGCGATCGGCTGTTGCACTGTTGTTGTGCGCCGTAAATATGTTTGCAGGTTTGCACCGCTTCTCTCCTCTCCACGTGTGTTTGATTGCATCAGTTTTCTTCTAATTTATTTGCTATCCTCTACTAGCTCAACTTATGTTGGAATTGATTAAAGAAGAAATGTCAACTTGCTTTCAGAATATATGAGATGAAAGAAAAGAGGTGTGTGACCCATGCCTGTTTCTTTCTCCCCATGCGTTCAGACACATTTCAGTTGCTTATTGAATATTTCGTGTGCTATAGGGATGAGTTTTCTTCAAATTTCGCACCTCAAGTTGGCATGGAATTCAACGGTATACATGAGGCTTGGTTGTTTTGGGTCAACTATGGTGGTCAAAAAGGTTTTGAGGTTAGAAAAAGATACTCAAACAAAAGAAAATCAGATGGAAAGATTAGGTCGTGCAGATTTGTTTGTGCGAATGAGGGTCACAGATTGAAAGATAAAAGAGATCATTTAATAAAGTCGTGCAGATTTGTTTGTGCGAATGAGGATCACAGATTGAAAGATTAGGTCGTGCGAATGAGGAACAAGAAACTGCAAAGATGGGAGGTAAGAAAAGAAAAAAGAAGATGCAGTACAAGAAACAACATCAATACAAGACACTGCATCAGTACAAAATATTTATCCTAGTACTTCTTTGCCCATGAATGAAATGCCTGAACCATACATGACCATCAATACCTTCTCTCAGATATTGAAGGTGATATTTCAATCTAATACACCATTTTTCTAAACCATACATGGCCATCAATATATTCCTCATTTATTTTGAATCTTTTATTTTGGGGGGGCAATCACAGATGATGTTATTCTTGACTTCTAGTAGTTTAGGAGAATAGCTTTTGGAAAATAGCCTCCTGAAACATAGATTGTTTAGGAGAATAGCTTTTGGAATAGCCTCTGAAACATTTCTCGCATCTCTTAACATTCGGAGCTTGCATCTCGAGCGAACAGACCATTTTGTGCATCACTTGAACTTGCAACAATCAGTTACTTTTTCTTGAATTCCAGGACAATTTACAACACAATGGCAATCTATACAATTTGCATGATTTTTTGTACTTTCGATACAATCACAAGTTACATAGTAGTCAACACAAGGTGCTTAGCTACATTCCAAAAGTGATCAGGCAAAATCACTCAAAAGTGATCAGGCAAAATCTTCTGGACAGTGAGAGACTGGAGCATCCCGATACCCATCGCCAGACCCTCTCCTGGATCGCCCAAGGGCCTTTGTCTCGCTTACTGTTCCGGAATACTTGGTAGAAAGTATTAGTAGACACTGACAGACAAAAATTCAGGCTAAATCACAGGCAAGGATAGGTAAATCACTCAAAAAATTCAGACAAGGAAGGGGAAAGAGGAAGGATGCGGACCAGATACAAGCTGGCGGCGGAAGGCCGCCCTTGAACGCCACCGAGGGTCGCGCCCATCTGCTACCGCTGCTCGTTCACGCCAACAAAAACCTCAAAATTTCAGCAACCGAGAAATCCAGGGCGAAGGTCGGCAACGAGGCGTCGTCAGCCACGTACAGTGTGGAGCGGGTAGATAAGGAGCTGGGCGATGATCCCGCCGCCGGCACCGGCGAGGTCGTTGATCAGCACGTCTGACATCTCCGCCCGCTCGTAGGAGACCAAAACGAGGATGGCACGTACGGCCGGACGGCGACGGCGGCGCAGCTCGACTAGAACTACGAAGACGGCGGCGTCGATTTTTCTTTATTCACGGGAGCTCTCAGCAACAGCAGGTCTGTGTGGGCTGTGATGGGCCTTTTCATTGTGCAGCCCATGTCACTTTGGTGGGTGTGTCGTCGAATCAGCAACGAATGGCACAGATGTGCCTGACTGCAGGTGCAGTCGTTTTCACCGAAGTTAGGTGATCTCGTTCCCGACGGGCGGGGCAAGAACATATACCCGCCCCGACACGGCATCGCACGCACCACCCAAAGCAAAACCCCTTGTCTTTCTCTTCTCTAGATCCACCCCCAACCCGAAATGGCCTCCTACGACGGCGACGAGGACTCCGGCCGCCGCCGCCCTTCCCAGCACCGCCCGTCCGGCGGGGGCAGCGGCGACCTTGCCTCGAGCGCGAAGCTCGTGGCGGAGGCGGCCAAGCTGGCGCTCCAGGACCACAGCCTGGAGAAGGTGGACAAGGGCCGCGTCACCGGCGCGGCGGCCGACCTGCTCCACGCCGCCTCCCAGTACGGCAAGCTCGAGGGCAAGCCCGTCGGCGGGTACCTCGAGAAGGCCGAGGAGTACCTCCACCAGTACGGCCGCAAGGACGGGGGTGGCGGTAAGCATCAGGGGGAGGGGGAAGGCAACTACGGTAAGAAGCCCGGCGGTGGCCATGGAGGGGGAAGGTATGAGAACGAAGAGGAGGAGGAGGGGTACAAGAAGAAGCCTAGTGGCGGGAGATATGAGGAGGATGAGTACAAGAAGAAGCCTGGTGGTGGTAGTGGCTATGGAGGTGGAGGGTATGAGGAAGAAGATGGCTACAAGAAGAATCCAGGCAGTGGTGGCTATGGAGGAGGAAAGTACGAGGATGAAGGTGACTACAGGAAGAAGCCAAGCAGTGGTGACTATGGTGGGGGAAGGTACGAGGATGAAGACGATTACAAGAAGAAGCCCATAAGTGGTGGCTATGGTGGGGGGCGGTATGAGCAAGAAGATGATTACAAGAAGCCTTCAAGTGGAGGCTATGGTGGTGGGAGGTATGAGCAGGAAGATGAATATAAGAGGCCTCCGAGTGGTGGTGGCAGTAGCTATGGGGGAAGCAGGTATGAAGAAGATGATGAGTATAGGAAGAAGCCGAGTGGTGGTGGCTATGGTGGAGGAAGGTATGAGGACGAAGATGATTATAGGAAGAAACCTAGTGGTGGTGGATATGGAGGTGGAGGAAGATATGAAGATGAGTACAGCAAGAAGCCGGTTGATGGTCATGGCGGAGGGAGGTATGACGAAGATGATGAGTACAAGAAGCCCAGTGGTGGTGGATATGGTTATGAGGCTTCCAGTGGTGGAGGCCATGGAGGAAGGTACGAAGAAGAAGACTACAAGAAGAAGCCTAGTGGGCACTCAGGGGGACGCTATGAGGAGGAGGAGGGGTACAAGAAGACTAGTGGCCATAGTGGAGGGAAGTATGGCAAGGAGGAAGAGGACAAGAAGAAGAAGAAGCATGGCGAGGATGAGTCAGAGGGTGGCGGTATTGGAGATTACCTGAAGTTGGCACAGGGTTTCATGAACAAACAGGATGGGGAAGGGGGGAGTGGGGGCGGCATGGGAGACTACTTAAAGCTTGCAGAAGGTTTCTTGAAGAAGCGCTGATTAATCTTCCATGTCATGTTTCAGGAAGGACTTGTTGTGTTTGGTTAGTCCCTTGTCCCGTTTATTGTCTCCAAGTAGTGAAATTTTCAAGGTTTCCATCATAGGATGTAATACAAGTGCTTTGCTCATGTTGTCTGTGTGTTGTGACATGAATGCTTAATGTGTTGCTTACGTTGCTGGGGTAATAAAAGCTTGGATGCTCTGCTATTCATGTTGTATATTAGTTCTGACTAAAATAATATGTATCCTATATTATTATGCTTACAATAAAGTGAAACTCTTGGAATACGTTTTCATTCATTATGTATTGTTGTTATGGTCCTACCGTTTGAAAATTATGTGATGTGTTGGTTCTTGATCTTATCATACTGAGTACTAATGCATGGATGTGCATCTTTTCCTGAACTTGATTTTAGTTTTACTAAACCTGGGACAGAGAAACTAACCAGCCATGTTTATTTCAACTTTGTTGGTGGTTGTTCTAGGCGTATCCTTGCAAAATAGCCTCTGAATGGATAGTTTGAACTTATTATGGTGCTTGGCTACTAACCATCGAGGCATCTTGCCTAAACTAACTTCTCCTTTGTTGGGCCAGTTCTTATCTCTAAGTAGTTGATGTCTCTTCTCACTTGGCCCTTGTGCAGTGCCTGCCATTTTATGTCACATGATGATAGTTTTTCGTATCTGTGTACTGTTAATTGGTGAAGATTTTGACACAGATAATTTAGTATCTAAATCAAACTAATGTCTTGGAAGTAAACAATAGGTCATATAGAGGAGAGGCTAAGAGGATTGTTGAATTTCAACCACAGGCGGTTTTATGTCATCGGTTTCAAGCAGTGTCAGAATTATTAGTATTTCGCCTTTCCTGATTTAGTAATCACATAAAGTCAGAACATGTGCGCTCAAATTCTAAAATTCAAGCCTGATTTAGTAATCACAGAGAAAGGGCTCAGTGATCTCGCTATCCATTATTTGAGCAAGGCTGGTGTTAGTGCAATCCGTAGACTTAGGAAAACTGACAACAACAGGATTGCTAAAGCTTGTGGAGCAGTCATAGTGAACAGGCCTGAGGAGCTCCAAGAATCTGATGTGGGAACAGGAGCTGGCCTGTTTGAGGTCAAGAAGATAGGTGATGAATTATTTGCCTTTATTGTTGACTGTAAAGATCCCAAGGCATGTACTGTTCTGTTGAGTGGAGCAAGCAAGGATGTATTGAATGAAGTTGAGAGAAACCTGCAGGTATTTCTTCCTCCCCATTTCCATGTATCTGTACTCCTTGCAAAAATAATTCTAGAAACCTTTCTTTTATTAGTTGGCAGGCACAGTATGATCTCAGCCAGCCATTCGTTGCAAATCCGTATTCGAGTATTTTGTTTCATTGATGGCCAGTAGAATCCTTTTGGCCATCTAAGCAACATGCATGTCAGATTAGCATTGGATCTTTGGTCCCCCTGTTTTAATTTCCCTTATTAACTCTTTAACTGTAACTACATATAAAAATATTCTAATTTTATTAGGAACCCGACTACCTGTAATGAACACTCATTTCCCTCAAAGCATGTCCAAGTTTAGGCTAATATAACGGTCCGTGTCATTTTCAATGCAGGATGCCATGTCCGTTGCAAGAAACATTTTGAAAAATCCAAAACTCCTTCCTGGAGGTGGTGCTACAGAGCTGACTGTGTCAGCAACACTGAAGCAAAAGAGTTCTTCAGTTGAAGGCGTGGAAAAGGTATTGTTCTGTTACTGTTGATTACCTGTATTGGATATTAACAGTCGTTTAAGCTATATTTATGTGGATGCTTAGTGCAACAGTGCTTAATTCTGTAAGCTTGTGACCACATATGCTTTGTAAATGTGATGTTATTGTGCTGAGTGGATTATTGCACCATTATTTGTTGTGCAATTCCTGATTGATTTTATTTTTTGTTTATGTCAGTGGCCTATGAAGCTGCTGCTCTAGCATTTGAGGCAATTCCAAGGACTTTGGCCCAAAATTGCGGTTTGAATGTTATTAGGATAATGACACAACTTCAGGGAAAGGTAATAATCCCAAAACTCTTTATGTTTCTGTGAACTTGTCCCTCTATGGAAGTGGTCTTCTATCAGAAGCATCATAAACTTGCCATTCAGGGAAGGTTGGGAATTTGGATAAGAGGGTGTTGTGGATTCTCCTAGCGCAGAAATTCAATTAAAACTGCACCTTGAAAATGCTCGAGAACTTATTGAAGCATCTACATGCGAATTTATCTTGAACACTATTTTGGAAGTACTGCACTGGGGCCCTATTTAGCAGGGGAGGAGCCAGAAATTATTCATGAAGGGGGGGGGCAAGTGGTAACTATTGAAGGTGCAAAGAAAAAAAAAATCAACAAATTACCTGTGGATATGGCCGATTGTGACATAATTCCATGTGATTTAGTTTGTTATCCTACGTTCCTAGAATTACTCTTTTTCTACCTTTCAGATTTAACTACCAGCAAACTGCCTTAAAATCTGAGTTAGGAGAACATAGGCCTATAATGGATTTGAGATGTTTGTTATGATTGATTACTAGAAGAAATAGCTACTTTACGCCAATCACATGTATGTTCTTTTTCCTTGCGTCAGCATGCTAATGGTGAAAATGCGTGGGTTGGCATTGATGGAAGGAGTGGTGATATTGTTGACATGAAAGAGCGAAAGGTATTTCACTTTATCTGCACAAATGCAAGTTTGACCAATGTTTGTTTGCATGTCTAACCACAATGTTGCCCATTTTAGATCCGGGATTCATACAGCGTTAAAGCGCAGACGTTCAAGACAGCAATCGGCGAACTTATAGAAATGACTCGTCCCGGCATGAGGCGAGCTCTCAGTATCTTGTGCAGGGCCAACCTTTTGGATCCACAAGCTCTATGCGCAAACCAGGAAACACAGCGCATGGGGTTTATGCACAACCATCTACGTCTTCAAATGGTGCCGGTGCTTTATCTGGCCCTCCAGGACCACCATTTTTTATGGTGTACTCCTATGAACAAGGCTCAAATCATGGTGCTTCCTCATCTGAACCAATTGAATTTGATCTCTTGGGCCACTTCCTGCAGCAGATGGTGATGGCATACCAAGGTCGACACGCCAAGTAATGCCTAATGGGTTTTATGGGCAAAGACGTGGTCCATATAGGGGTGGTTCCTCTCATTCGTCTCCTGATCAACCATCCTCACCTCAGCATCGTCGGTAATACTTGTTATTATATTCTTTGTTTATCACTGTTTTATTTTCAATGTTTCCGTATGAGCAGTCTGAAAAAATTACATCATGAATATGTAACAAAACTTTATGTTATCTGTAAAAAAACAACTCATCATGCTTTCATCTATATTAGCAGAATAAATGCATTACAGCAGTTGTCAATAGTAAGTTAACTTCTTTTTTTATAAGAATAATAGTAAGTTAGTTGACCTATAGTTAAAATTGACGGACAATGATGGATCGCTGAAAATTCAAATTTGTTAAATTCTCACGCGTTGAAGAATCTGGCACATGAACATGCAGCCATGTGCAAATTAGGTAGGGCAAGCAGGGATTGAAGAGATAGGCTGCTTCATATTTCATGTTGATATATAAAAAAATGGATAAAATAGTATATTCAAGCCACAGAACAAAAGTTCCAACTCATTTTGTTTTCATTCCTCAGTGGGTGTCTCAGAGTTTAATGAGAATAGTCATTCTCTCATGCCTCATGGTTACTTTGTCACGTTGGTGATAATGGCCAGTAACCTCATTTGCATACATTATCAATGTGTGCTCATTTTTGGTTGCCTGTGGCCTACATAGTCTAAAGTATGCACAAAACAAAGTGTGTTGAACCGACACCCATAGCTGTTTGCAGTAATTAGTAAATTGGCTCCTGGTATCTAGTTCCAAAGGTATAAATTAGCGCATAACCACATCGAACTAGTACCAGATCAGGGATTATGGTTGCCATCATTTATGCAGCTTGCTTCTGTGAATTGATTTATGTATTTACCTGCAAGTATTTAGCACCATTTGTTGTGCTGAAATCTGTGTTTCTGTTTGCTTTGAAGGTAGTTGAGTCTTCATATGATGGCTTGATCACTTGGTTTCTGGCATTGAAACCTTGCGATAGCAATATTTCGGTCCACCCCTCGTGATCATATCCTGCATGGGTGCAGATGGTTGGGCCATCAGCAGCCACAAAAAAAAACAAGTATATGCCCTAGCTGGCTTCTTGGTGCTTTGTGATCTCAGAAGCACTGAATTGTGAATACCGTCAAAAGAGGCATCAATTACCGACAGGTTATTTTACCAGTCACAATGGTGCTTCCTGGAATTAAAACAACTATCTTCAGAACAAATCATGGAACCGTCAAAACCCAGAATATCTTCACACAGAAATCAGAATTGAACTGAAGATTATGAACAAGGATGAACTGGTTCCGGCCGTCTCATCATATGAATTGTGTCAAGGATAATAACAATATTAGTTTGGATGGAGCAGGAACAAGCATTGCTGCATCGGAAACAATCTGGAATGATTTGGGTTTTAATGTGTCTGGGCGTGTGTAAGTGAAAGCTAATAATGAAATCCTCGTACCATTCTTAGGTAGGATTAAGCTCATGCAACACAGCAAACTATTCACTTAGATGCACACTGAGTTAAGTGAATCGTAGGAAACAAATTCTCGTGCTGAAGCGAGGGATGACTCCAGAATACTCAAGGCACGAGTAAAAAGTTATCCATGTCAATCTTCCTCGGTTCCATTCCATGTGTACTGTGTGCTGGACGTCCGCATGTTTCTCTGCCTGGGCATTGTGATGCATGAATTGTTTTCAGGGCTGTTTCATCTATGATTGTTATTCCCAGAACTGAGTCCGCCATTCAGTCCTGCAGAGCTGCAGTTTTACGTTACAGCAGTACACTTCCAGTTCTTGAAGAACAAGGGGAATTTAGGGATCTTGAGAATTAGTGTAGATGGCAATTTACTGGTGCTATATGCATTTTACAATGGGTACATATGCATTGCAAATTCTGAGCTCCCATTATTTTGGTGATCATTCTCGTACTCCTAGTGGCCTATGGGCTGGTCTAGATCCCCTGGTAATCAGGGTATTTCGCCTGCTGAAACTGAATGATGTGCTCAGCTCGCTATTCTGCTCCGGTTCTCTTCTTGAGCTCCGAAATGAAGTCCTCCCTCTCCTGGTCGGTCATGCCCTCCGTGGAGCAGTCCCCGACGCCCCACTCGGCGCCCCGCAGGCAGTACTTGTCCTGGATCATCCTCTCGTTCCTGCAAAAATCATAGCTTCAGCGTTGAACATGTATCACCAGAGAGATCTTAAGGAGCGTAAGCAAATATGTTTTTACTTCTCTTTGTTCTTCTTGGACTTCTCGAGCAGCTCCTGCAGCACCTTGGACTTCTTGAACCTGTTATCGAATTCGGCGTACTTCTTCTGGTTCTCCGCTTGCGAGCGCAACAGGAAGGCAGGGTTTCCATCAGTCAAGAAGGCCTGAATTGTATAAGTTTGCCGCAAGAACAAGTCCCTGGCCTTCACAAGAACTCAACAGGAAACTGAGGCAAGCAACTAACCATTCCATTTCTCCAGGACCTCGAGCCGGGGGAGGTCGGGGCCTGGAGTCGACTCCAGTCCCGAGAAACCGGACAGGATGCCGGCGTTCACTGCAGTCAAAATGTGCCGGGCATTAGTTTGGAAACACCGGCGAATCTGTGAATGCTTTATGTTCCATCAAGTGCTGCATGCGACACCCAACTCATCCGCAACTCTAGCTACTGTTCACAAGAGCAGTTTCTAGCGTGGCTGCTGCTGTGTCGCTCCGGTGTCACTAGGAGGGCGAAAGTGGCGGTGGGCAAGACTGCAAGAGTAGCCGTACCTGGACTGGACCAGAGGACGAACGAGAGCGAGACAGCCGCCGGGACAGCCAGCGACACCCGGGTTATCATCGCTGGTGGCGGGGCGGCGCTGCCGCTGCATCGCCCCTTCGGCGGTGCGGCCGCGGCCGGGGGCGCGGCGGGGAGGCCGCGGAGGCCGAGCATGGCTAGCTACTTCGCTTGCTGGTAGCCTGACAGTATGCTAAGGCCCAGCGATGCGAAGGAGGATGGATGGATTGCATGGAGTTGTAGGCGTGTAGCACTAGTGGATTGGTGGGGGCAATGTCGCCGACTCGCCGGTGGGAAAGGATGGGGCCGACTTGTTCTCTTGTGAGCCACTAACTAAAAGCTAAAACACGATCTGGGGATTACACTCCTTGATCTTTTTTTGCGTGCACTTGTCTTGGTAGTTTGTCTACGCTGCTCAAGTTTATATGTATAGGTCTTACCATGTATGTATAGGTGGTGAATCTTAAATCTGAGGATTAGTTATGGTGCGTTTGGGAGCATTTAGATTCTCGTAGATGTTCTGGATCTAAATTCTCTCTCAAAAAAATGTTTCAGATGATGAATCAACATCATTTTATGAAATCGTTTGGCTGATAGGCTAGATTTCGATTAAAAACAAAAAACATATAAATGAAAACATTCTTAAAAAAATTTCAGAATTTGTTGTGGGTGAAGAACAAATAGAACCCATTTTTAATTTGCTGCAATAAAAAAATAAACTAAAAGGCACCATCACTGTTGTATTGAGGACGTAAGAAATAGGCTATGTTCACTTGTCTTATGAACCGTACTATTTCAATGAACGAACAATGTTTTTCTCTTACAATAAATTAACGAACAGTACTTTCGGCCATGGCTTTTCAACAAAGCGAGCAGGACCATAGAATCGGTAGAAACCATCCTTTGATCGTTTCAAGAGTCTAGGCAAATAACTGAGAAACAGTTATGGTGTTTCTAGCCAGAAACGTTTCATCTCCTCCCCGTTTGACATGGATCGTAAAGATTCTGGCAAGAATCGAAACCGTTCCTACTTGCCAAACGGGGAGTAGAACAAGTCTTTTTAGAATTGGCGCGGAGAATTATGTACAGTTGTATGACTAGACTGGATGCCATCCGTTAGTTCCCGGCAGTGCGGACTCAGGACCGCGGAGTACTTGCTGTATCAAAAAAAAAAGATTTTAGATAAACTTTCTTAAAAAAGAAAAATAAATATATAGTTAAGAAAGAACATCTAGAATATATAAAACTCAATATTAATATAAAATGTAATCTTTTTTGAATCTCTTTTTTATTCTTATTGAATCATGGTAATGTATCCTAATCCAATAAGAATTTCACGAGTGAATATTTACTCTTTCCTATCTTATTTGATAATTTAGAACCTTATCAAATAAAGTAATTTTTTTGTTCGTTTGTTCTGCCATTTTTTAATATGATTAAAGTTTTTTTAAATCCAACATTTATGTCTCCTATTATGTTTATTATAAAAATATATTTTATAATTAATTTAATTATATTTAGTCGGTGTCCTACATTTTTTATTTTATATAGATTTAATTAAACATAAAATTATTTAATTTATTGAAAAATGGGGATTGTATTTTTGCTTAGACGGAGGGACGGGAGTAGTCTAACAGATTCAGGATTCCACATGTCTCCAGTCTGTCGCCTTCGCCATCCATTCATCGTAGTCGCCGCCGTCGCCCGTCGGCCGTGTTTTGGGACACGGCTTCCCATCCCACGCTTTGTCGAGACGGAAGCTCCGCGTGAAAGTCGTTAGCAGTAGTGCCCTCCCACGATGGTCGCCGACGGGCAGGGCAAGAACATATGCCCGCCCCGACACGGCATCGCACGCACCACCCAAAGCAAAAACCCCTTGTTCGCTTGTCTTTCTCTTCTCTAGATCCACCCCAACCCGAAATGGCCTCCTACGACGGCGACGAGGACTCCGCGGGGGCAGTGGCGACCTTGCCTCGAGCACGAAGCTCGTGGCGGAGGCGGCCAAGCTAGCGCTCCAGGACCACAGCCTGGAGAAGGTGGACAAGGGCCGCGTCACCGGCGCGGCGGCCGACCTGCTGAAAGCTCTAGTTTGGTTTTGGTGAATTAATGAAACCCTAAGTGCTAACCTAGTTTATCTAGTGGTCATGATATAGGTAGCACACTCCAAGTAGTGAAGCAAATGAAGATCATAACATGATGATGGTAATGCCATGGTGATGATCAAGTGCTCGGACTTGAAAAGAAGAAAGAGAAAAACAAAAAGGCTCAAGGCAAAGGTATAAATTGTAGGAGCCATTTTGTTTTGGTGATCAAGACACTTAGTGAGTGTGATCACGTTTAGGATCGATAGCCGTACTATTAAGAGGGGTGAAACTCGTATCGGAATGTGGTTATCAAAGTGCCACTAGATGTTCTAACTCATTGCATATGCATTTAGGATCTAGTGGAGTGCTAACACCCTTGAAAATATTTGTGAAAATATGCTAACACATGTGCACAAGGTGATACACTTGGTGGTTGGCACATTTGATCAAGGGTGGTGAAGTTTGGGTGCAGGGTAAGAAACTCCATCGGCAGAGAGTGTCACTCCACCAGAGTGCGGACAGTCCGAACGGTGCCACCCGCGCCCTAGAGAGAAAAGACGAAGGTCATCATAAGTGACCGGACGCCTTAACCTCAGTTGGACCAGCGCGTCCGGTCGTGTGTGTAAAGCGAAGACGCTGGCGTCGGTCAAACGACCGGACGCTGAGTCGCTCAGCGACCGGACGCTGGTAGAGTGCGTCCGTCGATGGCCGACGACGACGTAGGGCGTCTGAGGAGAGCGTTGTGTGACCGGACGCTGGTTTCGTTGGACCGGCGCTCCGGTCAGTGTAATAACGAAGACGCGGCGTCGGTCAAACGACCAGACATTGAAGTCGCTCAATGACCGGACGCTGGTAGGTGCGCGTCGGTCGATCTTGACGATCTGTTGACGTAGGGCGTCTGAAGAGGAGCGTTGTGTGACCGAACGTTGGCGTGTCCGGTTGCTTGCCGGCCGACGCGTCCGGTCAGAAAAAATCGCGTTTGGAACCTTACTGGAAACGACCGGACGCTGAAGTCCAGCGTCCGGTCACTTTCTAACTGACGCGTCCGGTCAGCAGACGATCGTTGAAATCTGACGAACAATATTTGAAGTCGGGGACACGTGGCGTGAATCACGTGACCGGACGCTGAGGGCCAGCGTCCGGTCGATTGGACCGGAGCATCCGGTCACCCCGCGTTGTGCCCAGTGAAGGGGTACAACGACTCTATTTTGTGGGGGCTTCTATTTAAGCCCCATGGCCGGTTCAAGCTAACTCTCTTAGCCATTTGCATTGACATAGCAATCTTGTGAGCTTAGCCAAAGCCCTCCCACTCATTTCCATCATTGATTCATCATCATAGTGAGATTGGGAGTGATCCAAGTACATTGCTTGAGTGTTTACATCTAGAGGCACTTGGTGTTCGTGTTTCGCTGCGGATTTCGCTTGTTACTCTTGGTGGTTGCCGCCACCTAGACGGCTTGGAGCAGCGAGGATCGTTGAGCGGAGGGTGGTGATTGTCTTCGGCTCCGATCGTGGTGATTGTGAAGGGTTCTTGACCTTTCCCCGGTGGAGCGCCAAAAGGTACTCTAGTGGATTGCTCGTGACTTGTGTGATCCTCATCTTGTGTTGGTTGTGCGACACCCTATTGAGGGTTTGGTGTGTGAAGTCAATTAGCGCGTGAACCTCCAAGTGAGTGAATCGCCACAACAAGGACTAGCTTGCCGGCAAACAAGTGAACCTTAGTAAAAATCATTGTGTTCATCATATTGATTCCAAGGTGATTGGTCTTCATTGTTATCCACACTTGTGATTGATTGGTTCATACATCTACACGGCGGTATAACCTTCTTGCCTACTCCTTACCTTATCGCAAACTAGTTGTCAAGCTCTTTAGTGTAGCTAGTTGTGAGAGCTTGTTTGCTTGGTTGGTGTGGCTCTTTAGTTAGCCTTTGAGAGCACACTAACATAGAGCAGTGTCATAGCTATTGTGTGATTAGATTCTATCTAAACTACAATTACGGTAGGCGGCTTGCATTTTGAGTAGGCTAGCGCATCACTAGCTTCGCCTCATAATTGTCTAACCATTTTGATTAAGTGTTATTGTAGAAATTTTATTAGGCTATTCATCCCCCCTCTAGCCATTAAGACCTTTCACCTGCTCCACGCCGCCTCCCAGTATGGCAAGCTCGAGGGCAAGCCCGTCGGTGGGTACCTCGAGAAGGCCGAGGAGTACCTCCACCAGTATGGCCACAAGGACGGGGGTGGCGGTAAGCATCAGGGGGAGAGGGAAGGCAACTACGGTAAGAAGCCCGGTGGTGGCCATGGAGGGGGAAGGTATGAGAATGAAGAGGAGGAGGAGGGGTACAAGAAGAAGCCTAATGGCGGGAGGTATGAGGAGGATGAGTACAAGAAGAAGCCCGGTGGTGGTAGTGGCTATGGAGGTGGAGGGTATGAGGAAGAAGATGGCTACAAGAAGAATCTAGGTAGTGGTGGCTATGGAGGATGAAAGTACGAGGATGAAGGTGACTACAGGAAGAAGCCAAGCAGTGGTGGCTATGGTGGGGGAAGGTACGAGGATGAAGATGATTACAAGAAGAAGCCCATAAGTGGTGGCTATGGTGGGGCGGTATGAGCAAGAAGATGATTACAAGAAGCCTTCAAGTGGAGGCTATGGTGGTGGGAGGTATGAGTAGGAAGATGAATATAAGAGGCCTCCAAGTGGTTTTGGCAGTAGCTATGGGGAAAGCAGGTATGAAGAAGATGATGAGTATAGGAAGAAGCCGAGTGGTGGTGGCTATGGTGGAGGAAGGTATGAGGACGAAGATGATTATAGGAAGAAATCTAGTGCTGGTGGATATGGAGGTGGAGGAAGATATGAAGATGAGTACAGCAAGAAGCCGATTGGTGGTCATGGCGGAGGGAGGTATGACGAAGATGATGAGTACAAGAAGCCCAGTGGTGGTGGATATGATTATGAGGCTTCCAGTGGTGGAGGCCATGGAGGAAGGTACGAAGAAGAAGACTACAAGAAGAAGCCTAGTGGGCACTCATGTCGACGTTATGAGGAGGAGGGGTACAAGAAGACTAGTGGCCATAGTGGAGGGAAGTATGGCAAGGAGGAAGAGGACAAGAAGAAGAAGAAGCATGGCGAGGATGAGTTAGAGGGTGGCGATATTGGAGATTACCTGAAGTTGGCACTGGCTTTCATGAACAAACAAGATGGGGAAGGGGGGAGTGGGGGCGGCATGGGAGACTACTTAAAGCTTGCAGAAGGTTTCTTGAAGAAGCGCTGATTAATCTTCCATGTCTTGTTTTAGGAAGGACTTGTTGTGTTTGGTTAGTCCCTTGACCTGTTTATTGTCTCCAAGTAGTGAAATTTTCAAGGTTTCCATCATATGATGTAATACAAGTGCATTGCTCATGTTGTCTGTGTGTTGTGACATGAATGCTTAATGTGTTGCTTACGCTGCTGGGGTAATAAAAGCTTGGATGCTCTGCTATTCATGTTGTATATTAGTTTTGACTAAAATAATATGTATCCTATATTATTATGCTTACAATAAAGTAAAACTTTTGGAATACGTTTTCATTCATTATGTATTGTTGTTATGGTCCTACCGTTTGAAAATTATGTGATGTGTTGGTTCTAGATCTTATCATACTGAGTACTAATGCATGGATGTGCATCTTTTCCTGAACTTGATTTTAGTTTTGCTAAACTTGGGACAGATAAACTAACCAGCCATGTTTATTTCAACTTTGTTGGTGGTTGTTGTTGGCGTGGTTGTTCTTGGCGTATCCTTGCAAAATAGCCTCTGAATGGATAGTTTGAACTTATTATGGTGCTTGGCTACTAACCATCGAGGCATCTTGCCTAAACTAACTTCTCCTTTGTTGGGTCAGTTCTTATCTCTAAGTAGTTGATGTCTCTTCTCACTTGGCCCTTGTGAGCAGTGGCCTGCCAGTTTATGTCACATGATGATAGTTTTTCGTATCTGTGTACTGTTAATTGGTGAAGAATTTGACACAAATAATTTAGTATCTAAATCAAACTAATGTCTTGGAAGTAAACAATAGGTCATATAGAGGAGATGCTAAGAGGGTTGTTGAATTTGAACCATAGGCGGTTTTATGTCATCGGTTTCAAGCAGTGTCAGAATTATTAGTATTTTGTCTTTCCTGATCCCATAGTTGAAAAGACCCAAGTGCACAGCTCAATGGAATATTTTTGCAAGGGCACCCATTTCAGTTGCTTGTTTATTCAATCAAGTAGTTTTTTGCTCCTCTTTGTATGATCTCTCATGCTCTCAATACCTTGATTCCAATAAAAAAGGGCAGGCCCAGTGCCGGATGCTCTCACATGAGTGGGATCTGGGGAAGGGAAAAATCGAGGCAAGCCTTTCCCCGCAAATCTACAGAGAGGCTGCTTCGAACCCACGACCTGGTGACTCAGTGAGACAGCTCTCACCACTACATCAGGCCTACCCTTTAATACCTTGATTCCAATGTGCTCATTTATTTATTTAATAAAACCCTAGGACTCTTTAAGTGATTGAACAACTATGGCGGCGGACCTTATGTATCCTTTCAATCCAGCAGCTTTTAATCTCCTATCACTCGTTCAGACTCTCCCATCTTTCCGAACCATTCATATTCCTTTTTTTCTAAACTATGAACCTTGAATGGTTGTCGGGTGCGCTACCCCAATCAGTTTCAGGCCCTGTTCGTTTCGCTGAAAAAACAAGCCGAAACACTGTTCCTGCTTGATTTGTTGTGCCGGCTGAAAAAATAAGCTGAAAAGTATGGATTATAAGACAAGCGAACAGGGCCTCATGATCAAAAAGTTTCTCTTATTACTGATGATGAGAAGGTTCATGGGATTGAAATAGCCAAACAACCAAGATATTACTTCTAGCACATACAACTGCATGCAATCAAGTTTCTGAGAAAGATGATTGGCATAATTGTGTGGTTTTTTGGTAATTGATCTGGAAAGCAGTCGCACTTCAATGTGAAAGGAAAGCTGGAACAGCCGTTCTTGAAGCAAGGTCAACATGCTGGCAAAAGGGAACAATATGAATTCCGTGGACCTAGCCCAAGGATTGGTGAAAAAATGCTCAGATTATTTCATCAATCGATGGGGTACCGAGATTTGATTCTTGTATATTTGCAAATACTGTATTCGTATTAACTCAGCTAAAGTGGTTGCTTGGTTATGTATCTTCTTTGGTTAATAAAAATATAAAATTGATGTGGCGGATGGAATTCAGTATACTGAGTATTACAATGTAACTCCCGGAAGATATTCTTCTTCTCTAATGTAAATCAGTAAGTGCTATAGAAGATGATCTTCTGATGTAATCTTTTTGTTTGAAGATGATCTTCCTCTGTATTCTGTTTACTAGAAGGTGGTATGCCAGAAGTATAATATATAATATCATTAATAATCCATATATTTTTCATTGGCTTTCTGTATTGAATCTCATCATCAAGAAGTTTTATGCTTCGCTCAGATTTTGTTTGATTCTCTTCAAATTGGCCATGGTTCATTGATATTGTGTGTTGGGGGATGCAAGTGCTGTTTTTTAGGATCGATCCATCACTCACCCAGTTGAACTAGTACACGCATGCATGTAAGATGAGATGAATTACTAAATTTTTTGCTTAATGGAAAAATCATTGCTCTTGGCTATATGTATCTTGCCCAGTTCTCTTTGGCAGTAAAGGCGCCATTTTGGCCTACATTATTCTTTACAAATAACATAGTGATGCTTGGCTCCTGTTCGCTGATGCTGAAATTTAGCTTATTAGCTTATGCTGAAATGTTGTGAGAGAAAAACACTGTTCCGTGACTGAAAAGTAGTTCTGAATAAGCTCAAGCCAACAGGGCGTAATAAGTTACAATATCGACATAATCCATCCATATATTAGATTTTGAAAGACGTTTATTTTTAGCCATCCAACTATTACACAAATTTGTTTTTAGCTGTGCAACTCTAAAGTCAGAATTCTTTGACCACTGAACTATTAGTGCTGGACAGATTTGGCCTAGACAAGTTTCAAAGATGGGTTTTGTATTTATGAAAATAATAACTAGTTTATTTTCTGAAAGAATCATAGCTAGTTATTTATTCAGAAAAAATGAAATCAATACCATTTTTTCCAAAAAATAATATACATTAGTGCTATATTCTGATCTAATTGGATCTTATCTGTAATTATTTCTAGTGTTTTATTATTTGTAGTCACACTCATTATTATTTAAATCATCAATTTATGCTACATTAAACCTAGAGTTCGACCACCGAATCCCATACTCTAAAAGTGTAAATAAAGCACCAAATATTTTGGAGTCAAATTAACCCAATTACTTTTGAAGGAATAGCAATGCCATACTAGGTACGACGCCTAAACATGGTGGAGCATCACACCTTCAATGCTAGCTCTGTCTTCCAAATATTCTACGATGGATTTTTCTGATTAAAAAAAGCTATGAATTTAAGAAATAAATTATTTTTACTATTTTTTTTTTCTAATTTAGATAATCTATCCAGTATTGATATAGTCAAATATTTCCATTTTTATAGTTGCATGGCTGAAAACAAACTCAGAGAATAACTGGATAGCAAAAATTAAGCCCAATGCACATTATCTAGACTAGTAAATATGTCCGTGCCTTGCAACGGGAGAAAAAACTACACGTTCATACGAAATGACAATGTAAACAATACATATCTATGTATGTTTTATTCTTCTTAGAAAATTTCAAATCTACATGATAACCATGACATTCATAATATAAGCTCGAGACATAATAGTCAACTTAGATATAATAAGTAAAACTCATATAAGAAGCGAAACTCATAATATAACATGTCCGTTGCAACGGGACGTATTATTGCGTGATCAGTTGATTGAAGTTAGCTATATTACCTCTTTTTTTTAAAAAAAAAGTTAGCTACATTTATTTGGTTTAATTGGGCAACCTTATCTCAATTAAATGATTGTTTATCATAAATGCAGTTGCAATAAATCTTTGCATGAAAAATTGACATGAGATTCTAAAATTGATGACTATTGTGTGTATGTGTTGTAAGGTTAAGAAAGCTGAAAAGTGAGCCACGTATCCTTGGGCGCGATGTTGATGGCAAAAATTAGCATATTAAATATATATGGTTAGGAACGTAAAAGGTATAATTAAGGTCAAACATGTTTGGGATGAGCATCCCTGAGTTCCTTTGTCTGGGTCTCATCGGGTATGTCTGCCGACGTGAGTTTTGTGTGGGATTTCTAAGATTTGTTTGTGCTTTTGGAGATTTTGTATGCGCTGTCCAGCAAGTTCCAGGATTGTTGTCTACGCTCTCCAGCAAGTATCGTGGGTAACGAGAGTTGGCCGCGCACCGTGCATGTTACGTGATTAAGTGGGAAAGAGTCCGATACGGAGCTGTATTCCAGCGCATCTTGTTTGTTGGAACTTGATTACGAAGAAAAGGCAGGACTCTAAATAGGAAGCAGAGGAGAAATCTGAAGAATGAAACAACAAATAATTGTTTAGTCATCGATTTCGAGGAATTTGGTGGCATGCACGTATATGGTTCTGACACGGTGATCTTTGCATCCCTCCAATCAACGAAGGCTTAGGATCAAATTCGTATACTTGCACCATCAGATGGTCGGACTTATTCCTATCTGATCTCGTCCTATGAACGGACTCATTTCGTAGCAAAGACGGACACCATATTTGGATCGGAATATATTACAGGAACACAAGTGGTTAGTTAGTTACTTAGGGAGAAGTGGACCAAAAAGAATGAGCTAAAATTTTGGCCTTTTGATATTAGGTAGTATAGATTAAGTTAGGTATAGAAAAAAATTTATAGGAAACAAAAGAAAACCAAAAAATCTAGAAGAAATAAGAACCGAAACCGGACACCTATATGGACACGCAAAAAATAGGTTTAGACACGTGAAAAACATAGGAACCGTTTCGGAAAAAAAAGGCTCCAGCAAGCTTGATTAAAAAAGGTCCCACCAGTCAACACAGAAAAAAAATGATCTTTAATAGATAACAAGTAGTAGAGGATACGGACACTCTAGATTTATGTGAGCAGGAAAGATGTTGTAAGTGATAAATAATCCACGACGTGAGCGAGAAAAGGCGGACAATGGGATCAAAAAAGAGTAGGCTTATGGGTCAGGTCACATACACGGTCCAATATGTTTTCCATAAGCCTACTCTTATTCGATCCCAGTACGTTGTCCACAACGTCTTTCCTGCTCACATAAATCTAGAGTGTCCGTATCCTCTACTACTTGTTATCTATTAAAGATCATTTTTTTCTGTGTTGACTGGTGGGACCTTTTTTAATCAAGCTTGCTGGAGCCTTTTTTTTCCGAAACGGTTCCTATGTTTTTCACGTGTCTAAACCTATTTTTTGCGTGTCCATATAGGTGTCCGGTTTCGGTTCTTATTTCTTCTAGATTTTTAGGTTTTTTTGTTTCCTATAAACTTTTTTCTATACCTAACTTAATCTATACTACCTATCATGCTAGATAAGAGTTAATGTAATTCATATGAGCATCAGTTATTTTATAACTTCGTTGTTCGGTAGTTAGAGGTAGACGGACAAAAAATGGATTAACCAAAAAAATTAGCTGAAATTTTATCTCTTTATTATTATGTATAGATATAGATATACAGCCTGTTCGTTTAGCTGTGACTTGTCGTAAACGATAGTAAATTTCCAGCCGGAATAGTATTTTTCCCTCACACAAACTAGCCAGCAGTACTTCTTCACGAACTAGCAACGAAACGAACCAGCCAACCGAACAGGCTGATAGAATTGCCTGTTGGAACAAACTGTGCAACTCTACGAACCAACCACATGCAATGCGATACCATATATCAAAATAAAACAGGAAGACATGAACTCTAGGACATAGGAGCAACCAATGCAGAACCAGAACATATGTTAAATGTTCACATTACTGAAACATCACACATGTGAAGGACTCGTCAGAAAACATGCACGGGTTGTCTTCTGCCAGGCAGAACAGATCCATATGCTTCCAATATACAAATCTACCAAATCACAGGTCACAGCACATCAATTGATGATCACATGAGACCCAAAAAATGCTATGAATGATACTACGGAACACGGATAAGGCAAACCAATCGAGCTCAGAACTCCTCAACAGAGACGGCTTCGCGAGGGACCTCATAAGCATCCTTCTGCCTCAGCTTCTTCACGCCGGCGATGAAGCATATCTTGTCAGACTTGTAGCTCTCGATGCTCACGCTTGCCACCTTCACCTGTACCACCACCTTGGTCTTCATGCCTTCAACCCCGGAAAGCTTGCCTCGGGACAGAGTCGCCTTGACACGAGGAGCATACCGTATCGTGGAGGAATCCTTGAAGCTCACCTCGCAGGGCTTGGACAGGTGCACCACCAGCTTCGAGGTTGATTCGTCATACTCATAGTAGATGATGTTACGAGGGAAGAGACCTGGAGGGAGGTTGTGCTCGCGCAGTAGATCAGAGAGTGACTTCTTGTGTCCTGGACAAAAGAAACTGATGTCAGTGCATATTTTTCAAATATCAATTATACAACTGTGCAAAGGTGTTACGGGATGAGGTTAACGAAGAGATAAATGGACATAATTCAGAATCAGAAAGTGTCGAGTTTGGAGGGAAAGTCTAAGTTCATGGAGCAATTTTGACTTAGAATGTCAAACGAAATATAGCAACTGAAATTTATGACACTACAGAGACTAAATGATTTCTACAATATTTCAATTATTCATCATATAGACCAGCCCAACTTGCTTTGGGACTAAAATGCTTTATTGTTGTTGTTCAATTGTTCATCACAGAAATTGCAACCAGACAAATAAGATAAGATAACTGTGATCCACCAACAAATCAGGAGAAATAGATCAAACAGTAATTAGACATAGTGTCCACTAACAATTGAAATGGATATATATAGATTATGAACACATTATTGACAAGACCTGTATTTGGCAAAAGGAAAAGTACACGAAAAGAGAGAGGAACCCAGTTTGCAAGCAGTCTATTCAGAACAAAGGTATCCTGTACTGAAGCTTTGACAGGAGTTAAGTTGTCCAGCTACATTATCGATTGCTTTTGTTCTTCTGGCCACAACAAACTAGACGCTGCTTAGAAGCAAGTGCTATGACAAACAATGGGCATTAGAGTACAGGCTGGCAAATCAATCGGCTATGGTTTTGGTGCTTCCTACGACCAGGACATACACTGCAGTCTTGCTAATACCGCCAAAGACATGAGAGGACCAATGCCAAGATTGCACGTAAAACAAGCTGTTAGGTGAGCAAGTCCCCTATCCATTGCTCCTCTATGTACTTCTGAATAATGGCATCAACGAAAAACTCGGTCTTTATCTAAAAAAACATGGGCCAGATGACAACCAATGCAGAGCAGCAGGTTGTCATAAAAGTCATTTCAGTTTGGCCCCCATGCGCACTCTACTTTGCAGATCAAAAGGGTACAGGAAATCCAAGAAAAGCTAGATCCAATCAGAGGAAAGCCTAGGAATCAGGCAGCCGGTACACATACACATAATCATATTAAATAAAGCTCTCTTTCCTGCATTGCTTTGGTTTTACGCATGAGGCAAAGAAAAGCTAACCGCAATGGATAGTTGCACTGATGATGTTGACAAAACAACTTATGCAACCAGAAGGTTCTAATTCATCATCTACATCTCTTCAGAGTCACTCTCATTTTCACAGCCCATCATGTACATCTCTTCAGAGTCACTCTGATTTTCACAGCCACAAAACCAACCATGGAATGGAACAGAACAACTGTACCTTTGAGCTTCTCGAAAACCCATTTTGCCTTCTCCTCCACCGTGCTCGAAAAACGCTGCAGGTAAGATCAAAGGCTGTCAGTTTGGTAATGTCGATGCTGCTGAACTTAACGGCTTTCATCCAAAGTTGAAACTGGTCTACTATTTCGTCGCCCAAGTTCAATCAAAGAGGGATTTTTTCCTTCACCATTCCACTAGTACTTGCTATGAGTAAAACACAATCCTCTTAATGAAAAACGGGTGGACACCCGGTCGCGAAAAAAAGCTATGAGTAAAACACGATGGGGATGAATTTAGTGCAGCCTCATCAATCAAAGAGGGAAAAGGTGCAAACGAGAATAATCCGCTAAAATAGATGCTCCAAGAAGTTGAGTCATCAGAGGTTCAGAGCTGACAAGAACCAGAAGAAAAAGAACGGACTTCACATTAGCACAGCCATGAGCCATGCAATGCAACAGGTAGTATTTCTATTCTCAACTTCCCCAGGACGACAGGACAGGATAGTAAAGATTGAAAGCAGCGGATCCAACGCAATGGCCAGGAGGCCGGAGCAACCGATTGCGCGGAAAGGCGAGACGGAAAAGGAGAGAATGAGAGATGGCGGCGACGGCGAGCACTCACGGAGATGTCGTCGCCGATGGCGGAGAGCTCCTGCTTGGCCTTGCGGGAGATGGTGAAGCTGCCGAGCTTGGTGAGAGCCTTCTCCATCCTCCCTCCGGAAGCGCGGCCGCTCCGCTCGGCTGGCTGGTTCTCTGCGCCGCTCGGCCGCTCTTCCGGTGGTGGTGGGGTGCCGCAAGATGGGCGACAGAAGAACCAGGTTCAAAGCTGCGGCGCTCGGCCCGGGCGGACCCCGATAAATAAGCAACGGCTCGCGGATCGAGAGGGTCGTGGGCCTGCGGCGCCGGATCCTTTGCGACAGTGAGGCCTGCTTCCATATTTGCTGCCGTAGATTGGTCCTCTTTCTTTCACTTTTTCTTTATTTTTTGGGGGGCTGGCTGGGTAATATTGCTAGTTTCCATTTGACAGCAAGCGTGTGATAGTGTTGTCGTTGCCATAATTCGAGCAGGTTTTCCGTCTGTGCGAAATTCTCAGAAGGAATCATCCACATCTCTTGATCTATCTACTTGGTCAAATTCGAGAGCGTTCGTTATTCAAAAGTCGAATTTGACAAAAATATAAGTATAGGTGTGGTGGATGCGTGGACAAGTATTTTCACAGGGAGAGCCGGAGAGTGGACGTTGGTGGCTTTGGTGCAGTGCGTGCGACCCGCGCGCCGGGCAGCGGCAGGAGCGGAGCGGGGCCGTTGGTGCCAGCGCGCATGCCTGCGTGACCGTCACGACTCACGACGCACCGCGCGGCGCTGAGCCGAACGCGTTCCTTGGTTTGAAGCGGCCGCGGGGAACGGAGCATACAAACGGCCCGCCGCCCGCCCGCGCCGCGCGATCCATCAAGCTGGAGCGGCAAATTCGTAATTTCGTATGGCCGGGACCTTCCGTCGTTCCACAATCAGTTTTTGGCTGGCTGGTGGCTGAGCGAGTAGATAGGCTCCAAGCCAGCTGGCGCAAATGTCATAGGGCTCCTCCAGCTTACTTTTCAGCACAACCGGTTTCAAGTGAGGTGACTACCATCCACCTTAAACAAGATGAAAACCATGTCAAATTTAGATAACACATCAAGTTTTTCACGTTGGTCTCTCTTCATCACATTTAAATCTTGGGCGTAAATAGAATTAATACATAAATCTTTAACTTTGACAACTGTTCTTACAGTATTAAATGTAGATAGAAAAAAACTAATTACATAGTTTGATTGTAAATTACGAGGCGAATCTTTTGAGCCTAAAGTTAGCCATGATTGGACAATAATGGAGAATCAAATTCAAACGAAAGGAGAATATACTTTTCACGTGGGAAAACTCTCTCTTTGGTAAATATTGATTCATAACCCTAATCTAAACAAACATTTTAGGCATTTGTCTTTCTCCAGCTTAAATATCATATGGGTTCAAAATCCTTGGATGTCCTCCACTGAAAACATATGCTCATTACTTGAATTTTGCTACTCGGCATTATCTCCTCGTTTGTATTTTTTCATTTGATTGTAACAATCTTTTCGTGAAAGAAAAAGTAGTGTGGCTCTGGCGTTGCTACTTCGCACTTGTACTACTTGGCGCGCTCCCAATGCTCAAGTGGGCCGTGCATCCGCGCCGCACGATCCGACGCCGTCATTGTTTGAGAATCTATGTGAGAACAGAAATGAAGGCATGTTTATCAATTGATCGTGAAGCTAAATAGAAAAATTACTTGAGTTTGCCTGTGTCGATAGGGAAATCACGAAAAAAGACCTTTGAGTACATTAAGAAGAAGATTTGGGGAAGAATACAGGGCTGACAGGAAAAACTCCTCTCCAAGGCTGGTAAGGAAATCTTGATTAAAACTGTTGCTCAATCCATTCCAACATAAGCTATGATCTTACAAAGAGCCTATGTGATGAGTTGAGCATGATGATTGCTAAGTACTGGTGGAGTCAGCAAGATAAAAATAATAAAATCCATTGGTTAAGTTGGGAGAAGCTGACTTGACCCAAGAAAAAAGGAGGCCTAGGATTTAGGGATTTGCATTTTTTCAATATGGCCATGTTGTGTAGACAAGCATGGCGACTACTCACAAATCCTTATCCATTATGTGGTCAAGTCTTAAAAGCCAAATACTTCCCTTAGTCAGATTCTTAGTTGTCGTCCATATGCTGGGGTATCGTATACTTGGAAAAGTATACTGAAAGGGGCGGAATTACTTAAGGAAGGCTTGATTTGGAGAATTGGCAATGGAGAAAAGGTTAAAATCTAGGAGGATTCATGGCTACCTAAAGGTACTACCAGAAGGCCGATTACACTAAGGCGTGCTTATTTGCTAAGGAGAGTGGATGAGTTAATTAATCCAGTAATTGGAGGATGGGATGTGCAACTAGTATATGATACCTTTTGGCCAGAAGATGCAAATGAGATTCTTAGGATTCCTATTGATGATCGAATGGAAGATTGGCCAGCTTAGCACTTTGTGTCGGTGTTTGAGTAACACCAACTGGCTGAGTAAGTTTCCATTTGACAGCAAGCGTGTGATATTATATATTAGCAGGCGTCTGTGCTCTCGGATGGTGTGCTAAGAAAACACAAAGGATTATATAAGTATTGGTTTGGGCTGAATGTCCCTATGTCGTGGTTTTGGGGCAGTGCTCGTGTTACCAAAGACGCGAGTTTATAGTAGGGGTTATAACGCGTTCCTTGGTTTGAAGCGGCGAGAGAGGGACAGTCTCAAGTCCCCCGCGTGAAAAGAATGAATGGGTCCGTCGTTGAGAGCTTGGTGGCTGAGCGAGTTAGGCGCCAAGCTATGTGCTTGAGGTTTGACGTTAGTGCTCTTGATCTAATGCGGTGCGGTGAATCGATGCGATCTCGTGTGATCCGATGCCCCTTAGTGGGATGCCCTGCTTTCTCTTTTATAGGCCAAGGGAAAGCAGGGGTTACAACCGAAGGGGAAGAGGAAAAAAAGAAAGAGAAATAAGGCTCCTAGGGTGTGTCTTTGCACTCCTCTTCGTGTGGGTCCCGCTGACCCCTTTGAGATCGTGGAACAGAAATGGGCATGTTGATCGTGTAGGGGTCACTTGTATACTTATTAAAATTATCTCCTCGCTTGTATCACCCTTCGCGCTTGGCATTGCCACACTGCAAAGAGCGATCGTCATCCGGTGGGTTTGCCCGTATAGGGAAATCACGAAAAAGGACCTTTGAGTACATTAAGAAGATACGCGATAAGGAAATCTTGATTAAAACTGTTGCTCAATCCATTCCAACATAAGCTATGATCTTACAAAGAGCCTATGTGATGAGTTGAGCATGATGATTGCTAAGTACTGGTGGAGTCGGCGTGGGAGAAGCTGACTTGACCCGGCCTAGGATTTAGGGATTTCTTGACAAGCATGGCCACTACTCACAAATCCTTATACATGTGGTCCAAATACTTCCCTTAGTCGCGTCGTCATATCTTTGGGGTATCGATCTGGTCTTCCATCCCATACTTAAGGAAGATTTGGAGAATTGGCAATGGAGAAAGGTTAAAATCTGGGGGATTCATGGCTACCTAAAGGTGAGAGGCCATACACTAAGGCGTGCTTATTTGCTAAGGAGAGTGGATGAGTTAATTGCCCGATGGAGGAGCGGCGTCGGTTGCCCGTAAGATTGAGATTCTTAGGATTGGTCGATCGAATGGAGTTAGCGACTTAGCAGTGTTTCGAGTAAACACCCTATATTGACGCGATGGGCGGCGTGAGTCGGGTTGAATGCATGGCCCGTGCAACCGCTAGGGGGTTATCATCGCACGAGAGGGATAGGTCCCACGTCCAAGACGTGCTCTCGGCGTCGCGCGCGCCTGCCATGCCGTAGTGGTTGGCGCGATCTCGGTTGGGTCCCACCACAGGGCCTAGGGTGTGCCGTACTTTTGTCCGGTAGCAAATCCGACCCCAAGGGAATGGGCGAGGCGGAAATCTCGCCCTGGGGGCCGGGCAAGACGGAATCCAACCCTCAGGGGTCGAACGAGGCGGAGCCCTCCCCGTGGGACTAGACGAGTCAGAGCCCACACCTTGGGGTCGGACAAGGCGGAAACCTCGTCATCGGAGTTAGAGCCCACACCTTGGGGTCGGATGAGGTGGGTCCTCGGAGTCGGACGAGGCGTGGCCCGGCCCCTAGGGTCGGACGAGATGGAAACCTTGTTCTCGGAGTCGGACGAGGCGTGGCCCATCCCCTGGGGGCGGACGAGGCGGAAACTTTGTCCTCAAAGTTGGACGAGGCGTGGCTCGGCCCCTGGGGGTCAGACGAGGCCGTAGTTGCGTCCTTAACCATCGGATAAGGCGACGTGACGCTCATTAATCCTTTGGCTCGGATACCCAGATATAGATATCCAACACTTTGATTCAAAGAAACTTTTCTAAGATAAATCAGCTTATAAGTTGGCTGTGGTCAGAAGAGATGCACTTGTCCACATGGATGCTTCTACTTCTGGGAGTGTAAGTAACAGGGAAGGCGAATTTCAATGGCATAAGATTTGGCAACTAAAAGTCCCCAACAAGACCCAGATGTTTATTTGGCGTTTAGCCCACAACAATCTTCTTTTAAGAAGAATTTTGGCCCATCGAGGAATTAAAACATACACCCTATGTCCGGTTTGCAATTGACTGGATGAGGATTGCGGACATATTTTTTTCAAATGTAAATATGTGAAACACTGTTGGCGACTATTGAATATGGAAAAACACAGGGTAATGTTACTGGGATGTCAATCAGGGAGGGAAACTGTCCACATGATCTTGTCTCTAGAAAAATCTATACAATTAAAGGTGATAGTGTTGTTGTGGACATGGTGGTCAGCAAGGAATAAGGTAAATGAAGGTCATAGGCTGATGAGTGCATCAGAAATTCAAAATTCTATAGTGTACCATCTGCTAGAATTTGAGAGATTGAACAATATAGGTCAGTCAGTAAAAAACTATACTATGCTCATGGAAGCCACCACTTATTGACAACTACAAGATCAATATTGACGGTGCCTTTTACCTAGAGACAAGAACAGGAGGCTAGGGCTTTGTGATCAGGGACACATGTGGGGACATGCTTTGCAGCTAGCGTTGGTAATATGAGATATGTGGCTTCTGCTTTGCAA